AGAAAACATGATTGTAATATGCTGTTGATTTTATAATTTATTTGATTTAACTACTTGGTTTTTACTATTATAATACTAGGTTTCAACTTATGTTGTTTTTGGTCATGATGATGCAAGATAGAATTATTGTTTTATTACACAATCATACATGGGTTTGGTATTCTATAGTGGTTTGGAGAAAGAAATATCTTGGACTCCATATAGTTAAGTGTTTGGATTTTGGCGGCCAGGGCAGGTTATTAATTGTCCAATTTTCCTTGCTCTTCTTCGTCGATTTCTATTTGATGTTGTCGATATTTAGGGTTATGAGAAACGCGGGAAGGTGCCAGTTTCGTGGTATTAACTGGCTTATGCTTATTGCCTTCTAATTTCTCCCTTTCAAAGGATATAAAGTTAGTTAGACCGGGGGCAAAAGAAGGGTCCATCAATCAACATTTGGCTAAGTGTGAGAAGACCTCTAGCACGGTGTGAAGGTGATTACCGATATGTTGCTGCGAGGATGATACAGTAAGCCATCTACAGATTGAAAAATAATACAGTAGTCAATCTTCACGGCGCCATAAATTCTGGCACTGAGGGTAGGGTAAAATTGGCCTCCCAAAGTCATTGTTACTGATTTTTATTTGTATTAGTATTTTACTTAACATTGTTCTACTTTTCTTTCAGTGGAGCATTGCAAAAAATGATTATGGTGTATGATGATATTTGGGTATGGCTCTTACTATTCCACGTTAAATTTTGGGAAATAGTCTGATATACATGACATTATTTATCTTTGTTGTAAATTTCAAAACCAAAAAAAAAATCATTATGGTATTAAGGAGGAGGCAAAAGTTGAGGGTTTGTACCCACTCTTCTTCTAATGAATTCTGTTACAAAAAGAGGCTGTTATAAGCTTGTTCTGACATCAATATTTGATGTCCAGGTACTATTATAGCAGAAGTTTGGGCTATTATTATGATCCAAATACCGGGCTTTATTGCTCTGCAGCATCAGGACAATGGTACAGACATTCCTTTATCATCTTGAGTTTGTGGTTTGTCAATTTTTATCCTGAAATCTTTAGCCTTGTTTACAGTAAAGTGGTGCAAAACATAGATGTGGATTTGGATGTGTGTTTAGTGTTTGTTTTAAAATTTTAATTTGATTTGTGATATATTTTTGTTGGAACTATATCAAGAGATTGTGATATGTGTACGTTCCAATTTATAGATCTTTGGTGGCATCAAAACATGCAGGGTGATTAGTTGTATAATTAACACCCTTTGGCTGAGAGGAGTGATAGGTGTAAATTTTACTTGTTTTTGTTGCTGAAATTGTTGTGCTTTGAGTACGTTTAGTGGTATTCTCATGAAAAAGTATATTAATTGTTGATATATGTAGGACCTGGCGAGTTTCCGAGAGCGAGATATAGGAGGGAGAGAGAAGGGGACCGTACGGAAGAAGACAATGGCCGAACGGTTGAAAGGGAGGAGCTTGATGGCCGAACGACAAGGAGAAGAGAAAGAGAGCAGAGCGAGCGGGACGAGGACGACCGTCCTGGAGCGAGTGGAAAGCCACGAGGGGAGCGAACGAGCGGCCTGAGCGAGGGAAAGAAACGAGGGGCGAGGACGAGCGTCCTGAGCGAGTGGGAGCAACGAGAGGGGACGAGGACGAGCTCTGAGGCGTGGAAGCAACAAGGGCTTGACCGAGCAAGGGACGAGCGGCCTGAGCAAGGACGAGCGTCAAACTGACAACAGAAGGATAGTATAGAAGGAAATATAATAAATACGCATAAATATAATAAATAAGGCTAGATATATTCTTACCAGATAATGATAATAAATACGCATAAATATAATAAATAAGAATAGATATATTCTTACCAGATAATTATAATAAATAATAGTTATTATTATTCTCGGCCCTTTTTGGGACGAGTGATTTCAGAGTGATTAGTATAATAGAGGGAAGGAAACTAGGAAAAACAGGTATGCTTTGATTTGGGAATTTTGAGAGAGGTTATGTCTCAGATAACGAACGGAGATCTGCTCCCAGTATTGTTGTTTTCTTGATCCAGTATTCTTATTTAATAAAAGAGGTTCATTCAGCTATTGTTTTCATTATCCCTTGCTTGTGAAAGTGTGTGAAGACAGCGTTCTAGTTACATTCCAGATTCAGGCACGTAACAATATAAGTATAATTTTGACTGTTTAAATATTTTTTGATGCTTTTGTTGTTTATTTCGAAGTAGGGGAATAGGATTGGATACGTCAAAGACTTGGAGCGCTATTTGGCTGTCAGCATCGAGAAGAGATCGCCCATCCAACAGCAAGCCGGAACGGCTCGTCCAGCGCGCAGAGCAGAGGAGCTCGGCAGCGGCAGAGAAAGGATCGTCCAGCGCGCAGAGGACGCTCGTCCAGAAAGTGGACGCTCGTCCAGAGAGCGGAGATCGCTCGCCCAGCTAGCGGAGAACGCTCGCCCAGACACTTGTCGCCCAGAGGGGACGCTCGTCCAGCGCGCAGAGAGGAGGCTCGTCCAGCGCGCAGAGGAGGCTCGTCCAGCGCCGCAAGAGGGACGCTCGTTACTATAAACCATTTTACAGCAGATATGTGGTTTGTGCTACGACTGTCCATTTTTTGTGATTGGATTGTTATATGGATTCTTGAACACCGCGTCAATAGTGACTTTCGTGGTCCTCCAAGAAACCAAATTGTAATTATGTAATGTACGCTTTTGTAGCGTCATATGAAAAAAACCTTTTACGCAAGTTATTGAAATTTGGTGCAGCAATAGGTGCCCCCCCCCCAATGTTCATTTTTGTTTAAGATTCTAAATCCATTTCAACGAGTTATTGATGATTTGAAGTAATGCAGTATAGGACTAGAAAGTATTGCGGTTCAGTCAAGATGACACACGAAAAAAAAGGGGGGTTTTTTTGGGATTGTTTTGACAAAGGAAAATTAAATTAATTAAAAGTTGAAAGTTAAAAACAATGACAAAAGTATGAAAATTAAAAGCTGAAATGGCTTGCTGTTCTATGGCGTCCTTACGCTGGCGCTGGACGAGCGTCCTGGCTTGTGTTCGATGGCGTTCATTTTATGTGTTAGTGAACGGGTTCGTTGTCTACGATATATTTTTCTCAGTTGAACGTTCGGTCTTTTACAAGAGTTCGTCATAACAGTATATAATAGGTTTTAAAACGTGTTTGCTGTTTTTAAAAATCCTAACACTTCCCATCATCTATCGATCGTCCTTAGTCACTGTTCTCATCTACGCTCGTTCCTAATCACTTTCCCCTCGGTCACCACTGTCCTAATCACTTTCCCTTCATCTACCGCTCGTCCATCCTTCCCCTCATCTACCGCGCGTCATGATCACTCCTCTTCTCGTCTTGATCGCTCCCCTCGTTTAGGGCCCCAGTAATGATTCCCACGATCTTCACTAATGATTCCCACGATCTTCACTAATGATTCCCACTTTACAAACTTCCACTAATGTTTCCCACTCCACCAACCCTCCAATTATGTCTGCCTACCTAATGATTCCATTATCAACAGTCATCAATTAGTCTCCTGTGGATTTCAAACAATAGATGTGTTAAAACATTGTAAGAACGAACACAAAATTATCATTGTATAATGAGTTGTCAAACTCAAATTAACAAAATAAATCCAGAACGGACACAAATAGTTGGGGTCTATTCAAGAATTTAAAGAAACTTGATCTCAATACTTATCAAATCTAATGAACATATATTCTAAGCATAGTTTATGAGAAATTCGTTCCAAAAAGACAGCATATCTTGCAAAAAATTATGTATTTCTACCACCAATGAATCAGTACAATCTAAGGAAAGTTGGTGTACTGGCAAAGAGATTTGCAAAGTCCATAAAATATCTCAAGGAAGCGGAAGGGACCAAAGTGGGACTATTTTTGTAAGGGGCGACCACTCCGACGCAGTCGGCGGGGCCACCGCAAGGGTCCGGCACAGGGAAGGAAGCGGGTGGGAGGAACGATACTCAAAACGCAAACTTGGTTGGCTGGGCCGGAGGGAAGACGATGCCGTCTTCGGTTCGTCTGCCAACACTGGCGCTGCCGGACCCGCAAACGGAACTGCGTGGCTGGGTGGAAGACGACGGACACCGGCGGCACTGGATGGAGCGAAAACGGCAACGTCTACGGGCGGCGCGTATACGGCGACAGCTTGTGGGGGCTGTTCGAAGGAAAGCAGGAAAGAAGGAAAGAAGGGCGCTCCATCAAATGTTCTCGTTTTCTCTCTCTCTCAAAATATTTGAATCTCAAATTTTCGAAACAACCCTAAAATTTGAATCTGCCCCCAATTCTGTCATTGCCACGTCATTTTAATTTTTGAAACGCACACCCCAATCTGCCCGTGCCCGTGCCCGTCCTCGCCACGTCAGCGTTGAAGCAGGTTTCATCAGACTTTCTCAGAACGCAGCAGCTTTTTCCAACCAAAACGTGGGCCGCTCAAACGCTGACACGTGTGCTGTGTCGAAATGTTGTCAAAATTTGTTGTCTAAGTATCATTTTCCTATTTGTTACTCTTATCTTGAAAAAAAACTTACATCAAATTTTGTTCTAAATAAAATTCAGATATTAATGGAAATTAAATCTCAATAAAAAGTTTTAATATAAATAAATTAGTAAATTGCTATATTGAAAAAAAAACGGTTAAATTTCAAAAGAAAAAGTAAAAATGAAAACTGTAGAAAATTGATTTAAATATATATATATATATATATATCTCAGCCGGCATGGTGACTGTACACACGTTTCCCCATTCACTGCTAAACTGCGATCTTTGGTTTTTTATTTTTGCCACGTAGCACTTCTGTTCCGCGTGTTCCCGCTCCTCGCTTTGCTTCTTTAAACGTTCTTCTCCCCCAAATGACCATTCATCTTTTCACTGTTCCACCAAACCTAATAAATAAGAAAAACCAGAAACCATCTGTTCTCACCCTAATTTTATTTTGTCTCTCAACTCACCAGATTTAGCTATGGGGGAAAGTTCTGGAAGGAAGCTCATGGTCCAAGTTTGCAACGCCAAGAACCTGATGCCAAAGGACGGCCAAGGAACCGCGAGTGCTTACGCCATTGTGGACTTCGACGGCCAGCGACGGCGAACAAACACGAAATCGAGAGATCTCAATCCTCAATGGGACGAGACGCTCGAATTCATTGTCCACGATAAAGACTCCATGGCTTCGGAAATACTAGAGGTGAATCTCTACAACGACAAGAAAACAGGGAAACGAAGCACTTTTCTAGGAAAAGTGAAACTATCCGGAAGCACGTTTGTGAAGTCTGGTTCCGAAACGGTTGCGTACTATCCGTTAGAGAAGAGGAGCGTATTCTCTCAGATCAAAGGAGAACTCGGTCTCAAAGTTTGGTACGTGGATGACCCACCGGAAACAGAAAACACAGGTGAGCAGAAAGCAGAGTCAGCACCACCGGCAGAGGAGAAGCCGCCCGAGAATTTAGAAGGAGAGATAAAGGAAGATGAGCCAGAAAAAAATAAGCCAGATGAGAATAAACCAAAAGAAGAACCAACAGCTGAAAAGCCAAAAGAGGAGGTTCCAGAGGAAACGGCGTCTCCAAAACAGGAGGTGTCAAATCCTTCGATTGGGCAGACAGAGAAGCCGAAACAGGGGAATGAAAGGCACCCCGAAGTTTTAAAGTGCACGGATCTGAATGTGAGCAATGGTGAACTGCGTTCTCTGAGTAGCGATAGAAGCCGCAGCGCTTACGACCTCGTAGATCCCATACCATTTTTATATGTTCGAGTCGTCAAGACCAAGCGAGCCAGACTGTAAACTGGTTCGACCGTTTACGCGAATCTTTCGATTGGGACGCGGAGCGTGAAGACTAAAAGCGAGACAGAGAGCAAGGACTGGGATCAAGTTTTCGCCTTCGATAAAGAGGGTCTTAACTCGACATCGTTAGAGGTTTCAGTTTGGTCAGAGGTAAAAGAAGGAGAAGAAAAGAGCGAGAGTTGTCTCGGGACGGTATCCTTTGATCTTCAAGAGGTGCCTAGAAGAGTTCCTCCCGATAGTCCGCTGGCTCCGCAATGGTACACTCTGGAGTCAGAAACCACGCCTGGAAATGATGTCATGCTCGCGGTTTGGATCGGGTCTCAGGCCGACGAGGCTTTTCAGGAGGCTTGGCTGTCCGATTCCGGTGGATTGTTACCTGAGACGCGAGCTAAAGTGTATCTGTCTCCCAAGCTTTGGTATCTGAGGTTAACGGTCATCCAAACCCAGGATTTGAAATTTGCCTCTGAAACCGAGGCTAAGGTTCGAACTCCAGAGCTCTGCGTTAAGGCTCAGCTCGGCGCCCAGGTTTTTAAAACAGGGAGAACCTCATCCGGCTCGGCTAACCCAACGTGGAACGAGGACCTCGTGTTAGTAGCAGCCGAGCCGTTTCAGCCCTTTCTTGTTTTAATAGTGGAGGACGTGTCAAATTCGAAAACAGTTGGGCATGCGAAAGTCCACGTGGCAACCATCGAGCGGAGAACTGACGATCAAATTGAGCTGAAATCCAGATGGTTCAACCTATACAGCGAAGACGAGAGTCGTTCGTATGCAGGCAGGATTCACGTCCGAGTATGCCTGGAAGGTGGGTATCACGTGATAGACGAAACGGCTCACGTCACCAGCGATGTTCGAGCCTCGGCCAAACAACTCACAAAGCCCCCTATCGGTTTGCTAGAGGTTGGGATTCGTGGCGCGACAAACCTTCTTCCTGTCAAGACCATTGATGGAACACATGGCACCACAGACGCTTTCGTGGTGGCCAAATACGGTCCCAAATGGGTCCGAACACGAACTATTATGGACCAGTTCAACCCGCGATGGAACGAACAATACACTTGGGATGTTTACGACCCTTGCACGGTGCTCACCATTGGAGTGTTTGATAACGGGAGATACAAGACTGGGGAAGACGGAAAACCTAACAGAGACTGTCGAATTGGGAAAGTTCGTGTGCGGTTGTCCACACTGGAGACGAACAGGGTATACGCAAACTCGTACTCCTTGGTCGTTCTGTTGCCAGGTGGTGCGAAGAGAATGGGAGAGATAGAGATTGCGGTGAGATTTTCATGTTCCTCATGGTTGAGTCTCATACAGGCCTACGCAAGCCCAATTTTACCACGAATGCACTACGTTCGTCCGTTTGGCCCTGCCCAGCAAGACATCTTGCGCCAAACAGCCATGAGGATAGTAACGGCGAGGCTGGCCCGGTCCGAACCGGCTTTGGGTCAGGAAGTTGTTCAGTTCATGTTGGACTCTGATACGCACATGTGGGGCATGAGGCGTAGCAAGGCGAACTGGTTCAGAGTGGTGAGATGCCTCTCACGTGCGGCGACGCTACTAGGTTGGGTGGATGGGATCCGCACGTGGGTACACCCTCCAATGACGCTTCTGGTCCACATGCTGCTTGCAGCGACCGTACTGTGTCCATACCTAGTGCTTCCCACTGTATTCTTGTGCGCATTTCTGATTTTACTGTTGAGATTCCGTTACAGACAGAGGGTCCCTGGAAACATTGATGTGAGGATGTCATACGTGGACATGGTGAGCCTGGACGAGCTGGACGAGGAGTTCGACGGGTTCCCGACGACGCGCCCAGCGGAGGTGGTTAAGATGAGGTACGACAGGGTGCGCGCGGTAGCGGGGAGGGCGCAGACATTGCTAGGTGACGTGGCGGCACAGGGGGAGCGCTTGGAAGCTCTGTTTAGCTGGCGGGACCCACGTGCCACGGGGATATTTGCGGTGGTCTGTTTGATGATGTCGTTGCTGTTCTACGCGGTGCCGTTTAGGGGCCTTGTGTTGGTGGCTTTGTTCTACTACCTTCGCCACCCAAGGTTCCGCGACGACATGCCGTCTATTCCGACAAACTTCTTCAGGCGACTTCCGTCCTTTTCTGATCAGATTATGTGATGACAAATATATTTTATTTATAATTTTTTGTTGACATGTTTCTTTTGTTAGCTTTGTATGAATCATTATCGTTTTAGTTGTTGAGCCGTTCCGGTGTGTCAATTTGGAAAGTGAGGAGATACCTGATACGCCCTGAAAGTGCATGGAAAAGTTACCGTTGTGGACTTCCAGTGGAATAGAAAGCGGAAAAGTACAGAACTGAGTCAGATATAAAACCCGTTGATGACTAGATGCCATAATTTATTACCGTTGAAGAAATATAGTGAAGCCTAAATAAATGCAACACGTATGGGACAAAAGTAGAGAAAACAATGAAACACAGCAGAGTTTTTTTTTTTTTTTAAAAAACTTTTTCAAAGTGTTAGATGTTTGCTGGGGTTAGGTTTGTAAATAAGGTATAATACTTAAGTAATTTTAAGAAGTGTTTAAACTTTTTTTCTAAATAAAGCAATAAAGCAAGTTTATTTTTACCGTTGTTTTTCGTTACATTTTTAAATTTATTCTTGCATTTTTAATAAACCAAAATGCTCTTCAATAAAATTAAAAAAATTAAACTTTTCAAAATCCTATTTTCAATGAATTTTAAAATTCATTGAGAAATATAACGGATTTTAAAATCTGATTATAATTAGTTTTTGACTTTTAATTTTTTTAATTTTTTTTTGCATTTTTTCTTTTTAATTTTTTAAATATTTTTTATTTGTTTTAGTTTAATAAAATATATTTTGAAATATTAAAATATTAACATATACTAGATTATATTAAAATATTAAATTAAATTAAATATTTATTGATTTTTAAATTAAAAACATAAATTTTAAAAAATATGTTAGAACAAATTTCGAAATTTGTTAATTTATATATTGAACGTGAATTTCAAAATTCGTTAAAGTCTTTGAAAAATTCTTTAATAGATTTTGAAATTTATTGAAGCTCTAAACAAATTTTAAAATTTGTTGAAATTTTTTTTAAAGACTTCGTCGAATTTTGAAATCTATTAAAGACCTAAATAAGTTTCGAAATTCGTTTAAGTTTTTAGCGAATTTTGAAATCCGTCGAGATCTTCATTGAATTTTCAAACCCGTTCAAGTACAAAAAATTGGGTTTAGGGTTTTTTTAGTTGTAGAGAGAGAAAAACTTTAAAAAATATTTTAAGCTAAATTGTTTTTTACAAAGGATAGTTTTGGGATTTTAAAAAATTTAGAAGTGCAAGGAGAAATTGTTGGAGGTGCACGGAGAAGCTTCCATATTTTTATACTGGTTCGCTCTAAACTGAGCTATGTCACTCCGAGTTTTAAAACTAACTCAACTAGTTAGACAAGTTTCACCACTTCTGATATAACACTACTTCAACTGACTAGAATGTTTAACTTCATTAAGTTAAACTTAACAAGTGTTTTGATTCATTTTTGAATCTAAAAACAACAAAATGTGTCTAAAATCCAAGAACATAAGATTGATCTCGAAGAGAGAATATGAAATCAATACAATGAAGTTATGAAAACTCATAAAGAAAACTTTTCTTTTTCAAAGACAAAATCTAAACGATGTTTGTAACCATTCAAGGCATCACAAGTGATTTAGAAAATATCTATTTAGTTTTTAGAAATATATCATCTAAAGCCATCAGAGAAGTTTTATTTCAAATTAACATAAGTATTGACTGAAATTTAGTTATTACAAATCTTGAATATCATTGTCCAAATAGAGTTAAAAATAAATGTCCTAAGGAATTTCACCATACATCTTTCCATTCTATTCATGTCCAGCTTCATCTGTAACATTATTTGTTCCCATATAATGACACAAGTTATATGATCATCTTATAAACACTAACAAGCAAAGGTAAGCTAATTATTGGATAACACAACAATGATGTAATATAACCATAGTCACCCATACTACCCAAATATCCATTACAATTTATGAAAAACATGTCACATTCAAGGAAACTACCAATCCATCAAATATTTACAAAAATTGTCTTTTCTTCCTGTAACTTACCGTCATCCTACCTGCTTCAACAAATCTTACAAGTGTACTCTATCCATGTCCAAAGCCTAATAGTCAGACTGCTCTTATCTACTTCCATGAGTCTCCTAAGTAAATTACGCCTATATCCAAAGCCTAATGATAGAAATCATTAAACCACTTTTCCTTTTTCGTCTTCTTATAAAGTCCTTTAGCCAAAAAGGAAAACAAACTGACTTTACAAGTACGAAAACAAAAAACTTATAACAACCAAACTCATACAATGTGCATATTCATCATCCAATTCATCATGCCATAAAAATTCATATCTTATTTCAAAACCAACATGAACCTTCATATTTCATCATAAACCCAATGTACCACCACCTTCATTTGTACCTGCACCACCTCAGCCTGATAAGGAAAAGGATAACCTTGCAACATCTAAGGGAAAACTTTCTGAAAAAGAGGAGCAGGCATGTGGAAGCAGCAAATTTGAAGCAGGTGAACCTTCTTCTTCTTCTTCCACCAGTACGTCTTCTGACTTGCAACAACCTCCTATCCCTCTTCTGTTCCCTCCCAAAGTGATTCAAAGCAAACAGATGGAAGAGGTGGATAAGGAGATTCTAGAAACCATAAAGAAAGTGGACGTGAACATACCTCTACTAGATGTTATCAAATAGATTCACAAATATGCAAAATTCTTGAAGGAGTTGTGCATTCAAAAGAGAAAGATGAAGGGCAATGATAGGATCAACATGGGCAAAAATGTATCTATATTGATAGGTAAATCTGTTCAACACATTCTTGAGAAATGTAAGGACCCAGGTACATTTTGCATACCTTTCATTATTGGAAATAGCAAATTGGAAAATGCCATGCTTGATTTGGGTGCTTCAATTAATGTTATGCCTCTGTCCATTTATAAATATCTTTTTCTTGGACCTATGCAACCTAGGAGTGTGGTCATATAGTTGGCTAATAGAAGTGTTGCCCACCCTACAGGTTACATAGAGGATTTTTAGTTCGGGTTGGTGAACTAATTTTCCCTGTAGATTTTTATGTTCTTGAAATGGAGGAGGGATTCTCCCATGGATTTGCCCCAATCATTTTAGGCTGACCATTTTTTAAAACAGCCTGAACTAATATTTATGTGTATGTTGGTACCTTATCCATGGAATTTGGTGACATTGTTGTGCATTTTAATATTCTTGATGCTATGAAATATCCAACTAAGGATCATCTGTTTTTCGTGATGAAACACTTGATGATGTTGTTGACTTTGATTCTTTGCATGATAAGAAACATTCTTTTCTATCTTCTCTACATACTTCTCTTGCATGCATTGAATCTGAATCTGAATCTATGAGTGATATTGATGTTGAATTAGAACCTGATCTATGTTCTGATATTATCTCTGATATTCAGTCTAATACATTGGGAGTTGTACCTTTGGATGTAAATTCTTTAGAGTCAAAATGCACTAACCCTTTCGTAGGAAGTATAGATAAATCTGACTTGCAGTCACCCATATCCAAAGCTGAAACCACTTCGAGAAAACCTCAAGTATGCTTACTTGAGGATGATGAGAAATTTTCAGTGATCATTTCCACCTCCCTTGATGTTGTTCAAGAGGATAATTTGTTGCATGTTCTTAGAAAGAACAAGAAAGCCATTGGTTGGACCATGACGGACATTATTGGTATCAGCCCATCCACATGCATGCATAGAATTTTATTGGAGGATGGAGCTAAGCCATTAAGAACACCACAAAGAAGACAAAACCCGATATTTTGGATGTCGTGAAGAAGAAGGTAACCAAGTTTCTTCAAGTTGGGATCATCTATCCTATATCGGACAGTCAATGGATGAGTCCGGTCTATGTGGTCCCAAAGAAGACATGCCTCATTGTTGTTAAAAATGAGAGGGATGAGCTCATTCCTAGCAGAGTGCAGAAGAGTTGGAGAGACTACATTGATTACTGGAGGCTAAACAAAGCAACAAGGAAAGATCATTTTCTACTGCCCTTCATTGACCAGATGCTTGAGCATATGATAAGTAAATCTTACTATTGCTTTCTTGATGGTTTTTCTAGTTACTTTCAAATACATATTGCTCCTGAGGATCAAAAGAAAACCACATTCACCTACTGATAACAGTTGAAAAACTGTTATTTTCATACTTAAAATTGATACTAAAAGCAACCTTTATACTTAGAAACTAGCTTGAAATCATGCTTTTCTTCATATTTTTAGAAATAAGAGAGCTGGACAGGTTTATGCTTGATTTTAGTGTTTTTGTGCAGGTTTTAAGGTGAATTTGGTGAAAGAAGTGAAGAAGGAGAGAGATGAAATCAGAAAAGACATCAAAAAGTGCAAAATGAGAAGCCGAAGTCACCGCTTAGCGGCAGTTTACCGCTGAGCGGCACTCAGGCACTCACGGGAGATCCGCTGAGGGGCAAAATGGCCGCTGAGGGGAGAAAGCAAGACACGCACTTACCGCTGAGCGGTATTTTACCGCTGAGCGGCACTTTAATGGGCTTGGACCTAATTTTTTGTAATTTACGAATGGTATTTAAGCTTTAGGGTTTCCTAGGGTTAGGTATCTTTGGCTGGAACGAAGCAAACACTCTCTCTTCCACCCCTTTGAAGGAGGATCTTGGATGCTGAGGCTTCCTCTTCACCTTTTTAGGGTTTATTCTTTCATTCTTTCATTGTAATTCATCTAGGTTCACCATGAATATGGTGAACTAAACTCTGTATGTTTGTTGGGGAATCAATGTAATCTTGTGAAACTCTCATATATGGAATCTGTTTTTACATCTTTTAATTAAGACTTATGCTTTCTTTCATCATTAGTTAGGGTTTTTCCTCTTTGCTTAATGCTTGCATTGTTTAACTCATTCGATGCATGATTATTGGTTTTGTCGATACGGGCACGTACGGGGAAGTCTAGATCCGGGGAATTTCTCCCAATATGATATTGGTTGTCGCTAAGCTCCTGCATTTATGAACTGATCATTAGGAATGCTAGGAATTGTATGAACTCGTGATTAGGGAGAAG